GTCCAAAAGTTCCAGAAATATTCCCGGGGAAATATCCAAAAGTTCCGGAAATATTACGGGGGAAATTTTCAACCCTAAATAGAGTACTAAAATTATGGAATAAAATATTTACCTAATGAACTTAAACCAATTGCAACGCTTACTGAGTTTAAGATCAAATTGAGGTACAAATAGGGTTGAAAGACTTCGGCAATTTTCCGGGAAATTGTGTTTTATAGTTGTAGTATTTGAGTACTTTTTTAATATTTCAACTAAAAATATAACATAAGAATAAATACCTTATAGTCCAATTTTTATAATCATGTATACTACTTTATTCGCGCATTTTTTTAAAAAAGCAACAAAACGCTTAAGTTGTTATTCGTTACTTTTACGTACATTACTATTGCTGCACAACGAAAAGTAGATTTTTCCGCGTTAGCCTATCTTTTGAGCATGAGTATAACATATTTCTAGCTTTTACTTCTTTCAAATGCAATGTAAAATATAAAAATAGATATAAATAGAAACAAAATAGAATAAAATCTATCAAATTAATTATAAAGTAATAATAGTAATAGTAGTAGTAGTAGTAATAGTAGTAGTAGTAGTAGTAGTAGTAGTAGTAGTAGTAGTAGTAGTAGTAGTAGTAGTAGTAGTAGTAGATGCTGTAGTCCGAATACGACAAGTGCGTCTATTAATAACACACTTAGACAGCCGTGTCAGTATTAATTTAATTTAAAATGAACTAACTGTCTAATTGTGCTTTAAAACTGTTTACTAATTTTGCATTAATCACTTCTCTCGGTAATTTATTCCATGTTTTTGTTATTCTGTTAGTAAAGAATGAGTGTCTTAAGTTGCACTTTATTTTTTCGCATTCAAACCTGTCAACGTTTCCTCTCGATAAGTGAAAATTATTAGGCTTGAAAACGTTTATAAAGTCCACATTTTCAATCTTGTTTAATAACTTATAAGTCTGGATCTAATCTCCACGAATTCTGAGTTCATATAATGGGGTGAGGTCAAGAATCTCCAGTCTTTTCACGTATTTCATTTTTGCCAGAGTCGGATTGAGTCTCGTAGCCCTGTGTTGAACTTTCTTGAGCATTTCTATTTCTCCTTTAAGCTGAGGGGACCACACTGGAACCGCGAATTCAATTAATGGGCGAACAAACGTCACGTATAAGACTTTAGGAGTCTGCAGATCCAGTTCCACAAATTGCCTTCGAGCTGCAAGATATAATTTGCTGTCTCCATTTCATGTTTGCCGAGAATAATACGACTAAATCTTTTTGAAGAGTGGTTTGTCCTAGGACAACATTATCCATAGAATAATCGTGTTTTGGATTTTTACTGCCATAGTATATTATTTATTGAATCTCACTAACCATTCTTTAGACCAGTCCCAAGCACTGTTTATATCTCGTTGAAGACTGTTTATTTTCTCTATTGAGTTCACATCGATCATTATTTTCGTGTCATGTGCATAGAGCTTGGTTATATTTTGTATTCTGTCCGGCAGGTCATTTATGAACATAGTCATTTATGATTGGGCCAATTACCGCTCCCTGCGGAACTCCGCTGTAGATTTCGCACCAGCTCAAGACAATATTACCGTTTACTACGCGTTGCTTTCTTACTTTTAAAAATTCCTCTAACCACTTTAGCAGCTTTCCTGTTATTCCATACGCTTTTAATTTTAAAACGAGTCTTTTGTGCGGCACTGTGTCAAGCTTTCGCAAAGTCTAAATAAACCACATCTACCGGGCGATTCAGTGCGATATTTTCTGTTAAATAATCCACAGTTTCCATCTGACTTGCTGCGCATAATCTAGTTTTAACAAATCCATGTTGACACTTCGATAAAAATTTATTGTTTGTAAAAAGTGCTGTAAGTGAGTCTCTTATTATGCTCTCTAGAATTTTACACGACACAGAAGTCAGTGAAACTGATCGATAATTATTCGCTTCTAGCTTACTGCCTTTGTTCTTAAAGATTGTGGTAATGTTCACTAATTTCCATTGCATAGGCAGTTCGCTCTTTTCAATCGATGACATAAATATCAATGTGATTGGCAATGCAAGTCCTTCGGCGCAATTTTTTAATATGATAGTACTCAATTGGTCAACTCCACATAATTTCTCGTTTGATAATTTGCTCAATCTAGTTAAAACGTCACTGTAATTAATTGCACTCTCGTCAAAATCTAGATATTTGCCCCCACATCTCGATCCAAATTCTGGAAATACTTGGTTGTCCTCTATAGTGAAAGAGTTTTAAAAATTCTCGTTTAAGATGTCAACAATCTCACTGGTCGTATTTGTAACATTTCCTTCGACGTTTTTTATCGCTTTAATTGAGCTCTTTACATTTTGTTGATTGTTCACATATTTAAATAGTATCTTCTTGTTCCTAATCGAATTGTAGACCAGTTCGCGTTCATATTCTTTTCTGGCTTTTCTCGTTTCAGTTTTAACTGTTCTACAAAATGCTTTGTATTCGTTTACCATATTTTTGTTTTTCCAATTTGTGGAACAATTTAAATGTCTCATTCGTCTTTTGTTATTCACAAATTCTTTTAGTTCATTATCTATCCAAAAAATTCTTTTACGAGTCCTGTTTTTCGAGCTGTGACACGGTATATATTTTTGACAAGCTTCGTTAACGTAAAAAATGAGCTTGTCGTGCATCTTCTGAACATTAATTGCATCGAAAATCATTACTCAGTCTACCCAGTGGGCACCGGACCTAAATAAGACGTCTTTTGAACGTCCAAAAGACGTCCAGAACGTTCAAAAGACGTTCAAAAGGCGTCCTAAACATGTATAAGACCTTTAAAAGACGTCTTTTTTACGTACGTGCCCACTGGGTACGTTTGTAAAAAAATTGTTCATTCCTGCGAAGTCAGCTTTTTTAAAAATATATTTCCTATTGCTAGCTATAGTTATTTTCTCATGGTGATTGAGTGCATATTTAAAGCAAATTACAAGACGTCCTTTGCTTATATTCCCCAATACCGCATTTGTCTCAACTTGAAATTATCTTTGTTCGTTTACTGTGAACAGTAAATCCAATGCACTCTCGTAAGTTGATTTGTTTAGTTGAAAAGTAGGTATCGCAACGTGCTGAATTAGAAATTCGTCGTTTATTATTTCCGAGAAATGATGTTCTATCGAGTGTTCACAGAAGTTTATTGCATGGACTACTCCATCTGACCATTCAATTTTGGAAAATTAAAGTCACTCATAATTAATAAAACTTTAAAACCCCGTTTGTCCCCGTTTTTTTATTTTAAAACTCTTTTGCAGTTCTGAAAACATTCCTGAACAGTTCCATATCTACCACATCGTTTGGTTGGTATTTTATATTTGTCATTCTTGAAAACTAGTATAGTCCAAATTTTTTTCATTCGTATTTTATATTTGTCATTCGTCAATAGCCATTTTTCATTTACTTCAAAAGACATTATTTCACTATTCACGTAAATACAAACTCCTCCGCCCGAACGGTCATCTTTTCTTTCGCTACGATATAAACAAAAATTTTCCTCGCACGTAATTGAAGGTTCACTAAACCATGTTTCCGTTACTCCGATTATATTTGGTTCATTCAAGTGACACAATACTTTAAATTCCTCAAATTTGCTATTTAGTGTGGCGTTCAAATATATACAGGATAAATTTTTGCTTATTTTTTGATCTCTATTGTTCTTTTTTAAATCGCATATCGAAAAGGGCGAGTTTGCGTCAAGCTTCAAATTTAAGTCGTTTCGTTTCTTTCTCAACTCAAAGTCTTGTAGTCTCTCGGCCTCTGTCAAGTCTGCATATATAAACTTCTTTAAAATCTTGTATTCCTCTTAACTTTTTGACGCGAGTAAGAGAGGATTTCTCTCGCCTTCGGATAACTCGAGTAGAATCGGGCCAGGTTTGGCAGCGTTTTTTGATTTGAATCTCCTAGAAATGTATCGGTTTAACGTTTTCTTTTCCTATTGATTTCATTAAGTCCTCAATTGCTTTCTTGTCTTCTTCAATTTTATCTTTGCTCTCAGTTTAGCTCGACTCTTTAATTCTATATATAATGACGTTCTTTTTACGTTTTTTTCGCTCCTCCTGCTCATTAATTGCTGTGTTAACCACAACTAGTTATTCTTTCGGTTTTTTTGCGTTTCGCGACACCACATTAACCCAATCATTTCCAATGTTCACTGTTGGAGTCTCAGCATTTGTTGTTTTGTTCTCTAGCGTTTTTACTCTTTTCTCCAATTCCACAATTAGATTATCTTTCACAACAATCGCTGTTTCAAGAACAGATATTTTCTTGATTAGCGCTTCTATTTCCGTCTTGGTTATCATTTTCAAATTATTTTATTATTTAAAATATGTATTTATATATTTTTCCGTATATATTATTTTACAATTTTTAATAATTGTCAATTTTCAGTTTTTTAAAATTTTTCGTATATATAATTATATATATTATTAATAATTGTCACAAACACACAAAATTAAAATAATAATAATAAAATTTTTAATAACAATGATAATAATAATAAAAAACTAAAATAATATATTTATAATTTTAACAAACTTATAACAACTTAAATGCTGGTTTATAACAGAACTAAGTGTTTATAGCACAGTCAAATATAATTACGTCATTTAGCAAATAACGCAATTATATATATATATATATATATATATATATATATATATATATATATATATATATATATATATATATATATATATATATATATATATATATATATATATATTTACACAATAGGTCCACAAATTTTGAATAAAAGCTGATTTCGATAACATCTGCATTAGGTATTAACATACGCTAACGGTTTGCTGACTTAAAAACCCTTTTTCTTTTTACGCTTTTGGCTGACCCCATAACACCATATATGTGTATGTACGTTATGGATTAATTCTTATGTTAAAAAGTTTAACAAGATTTTTGCAATTTATAAAAACCAAGTTTACTTTTCCTAGAAATGATAACAACAACATATGTATAATTAACTACTTTCATATAGAAATTTATACAACTAATTTTTTTTTGATCCAACATCTTTAAATATTAATTAGATTTTACACTTGTGATTTGTAGGCGAGATTCATGCAGCTGTTAAACTTTTCATGCAGCTGTTAAACTTTTCATGCAGCTGTTAAACTTTTCCAGCAAACCATTTTCGTTACTATTTAGTTCTCTTTCTTGTAACAAATGATCGTACTTGGAAAGTTTTAAAATACGTTTAGAGATTGAGTTCTTGAATTCAACAGCATGAATTGGTTTACTCGCTAAAGATTAACAAAATATTTTCAAACCAAATACTCTTGTTAAAAAAATATTGTACTATTAAAGCAAATGTTTTGGGTTAATTTACTTTACCTTCATTATACTTGATAGATTGATTTTTATTTATCTCAGACTTATTTTTAGAATTGGTAGGTAAATAATCATTTGATTCAGATCTGTGAACGTTGTTATATTGATTTGTTGACACAACCATCTTTGGAACTCTCCATCCGAACCAACCTAATATGTAGTAACAGTTGATAAATAAAAAGTGTCACTTGTTTAGGGTAAATAGGCCACTTGTGGTCTATTACCATAAACAAGTGACAACTGTGTAATGAAGCTTATACTGCATGCTCTTTTGTTTAGATTACCTTTTTAAAAATTCTTTCTAAAAACAGTTATAAATCAGCGGTCAAACTAAATATCCAAATTCAATAAAACTTTGGTAACTTTTTGAGTGTAAAAGAAACCACACGTTCAGCTTTTGCTCAAATTATTGAGTTTTAAACTTAAATAGAGCTTTTTAAAAAAAAAAAATGACAGATAAAATCAAATAGCGCCCAAAACACTAAATTAAAAAAAAATAATAAAAAAAAATATCTTCATATTTGAAGAAAATCTTATAAACATCTCCTAGTCTAGTTGTTTATTTTGACTGGAGATATCACATCTTAAAATTGAAAAAAACAAAAATAAATGTCTTAAAATGAGAAAAATCAAGTCAAAAACGAAAAATAAAAGTTTCTGTCAAAAAACCTCATTAAAATTTCTGGCAATAAGATTTTACTGATCTTCTATCAGATATTTTGTTTTTCAAATGTTACATTTGATTAACCACAAAGTTGAATAAAAATTTTTGATTTTAATTTTCCGTATGACCGGAACATGTAAACATTTTCTTAGCAAATCATCTTCAGACAAATCTTTAAAAATAGGTCTTATTAAATTATGAATAAAGGTTGGTAAGTTAATTTTTTTCGCGTGCAAGTGTGTATGTGTTTGAACCTTTTAGATTGTTTAGTTGCCACTAATTAAGGTAAAGTAAGGTCTCAGTTTTTTGCTGCCATGGCGCTGCTAAAGTAAACAAATTAAATTAGTAAAATATTTACCATGATGAAGACTAAAAAAGTCTTTTTTTTAAATAAATTTAATTTAAATTATACAGCAGGTACCTAAATTATTAGTTTAAATTTGTTTTTTTACAAAAACTGCAAATAAATATGGATTTTAAATGAATAAACTTATTTCAATGTTTACCTTATATATAAAATAAATATTTATCAGAGGCGTGTCTAAGCTACCAGCGTTCTGAGGTACGTAACACTATCAATAACTCATTCATATATGTATATATATATATATATATATATATATATATATATATATATATATATATATATATATATATATATATATATATATATATATATATATATATATATATATAATATTTCTAAAAATAATTAATTGTTTAATTTAATTGCTCGCAATTTTCTGTAGAGAATTTATAATTCTATAGCAACTATAGAAAACGCCATAAAAATTGTTAAAGGGATGGCAATTAAATGCCAAAACCTTAAATTTCCTGCCGCAAGATTGCGTGGAAGACTTAAAAAAGATATTAGAAGGGCGTAGAACATTATTTAACCAAGCTATTGAGGAAAAATTAAAAAAACATATAATTAATATTGAGACAAAGTTTTTTGATTTAACAACAAAAGATCTCAGGCGACTTGGTATTAGAAATGGCTGAAAAAAGTCAGATCAAGCAAAATATTAATCTTTATTTTAACATAGCTGATAAAAATGGTGAAGTGAATATTTAAAAAACAATCCAAAAATCTCACTGAGAACACCAGAAAGTACACTATTTACTCAAACGTATGCTTTTAATAAAAAAACACATCTCTTCTTATTTCACCGCACTATCAACTATAATGAAAACATTACGTAGATAAATGGCAATGTTTTAGCGTCTTCGGTAAAACTTTGTCACTGCTGTTATGTTTGACATATAAACGTCCCGAGATAAAATAAATAATCTTAAGACATACATGTAGGCCTTAAGACAACTTATTTTATCTCGGGAAGTTTATAAGTCATAATTGTTTTATTACTTTCACCTGGTATCACTTTCTGGTCCATTATATAACTTTTTATAACTTTCCAGATCTTTCTTCAACTTTCAACAGCTACCAACAACTTTTTGTAATGATCTAGTACTGGTAACTTTCTGAAACATTGTAAAACTGTTTTGAAGCACACAGAACTTTTTTTTAATTCTTTGAATAAATCTAAAGTTTTTTAAACCATGGGAAACCTAGATATTATAATATCTGTGGAACTGTTTATATACATTTTCACATTCACATACACAAACAAATCAGAGGTGTACAAATCCAATCAGAGGTGTATGACTTTTTAGAGACAGCAAACATGATTTTTAGAGGTCACCCTTACATAATTTTCAATGGTCAATTTACATGATTTTAGCGTCAAACTATATATTAAAAATTTGTTTTTTAGGTCAAGAAATTAAAGAAAAACTTTTCACAAAGAGTTCACACAAGTTACATGTTTTAAAAAAAATGAGTTTTATACGAGTAAGTTTAACTTCTTTGGGAAGCAATTCCCCTTTCTTTCTGCTTCTCACTAAGTTGATCACTTGAACTGAACTACATAAACGTTTTTATTTAAATTTTTTTAATCAAAATCTTTTTTTAATCAAATAGACGCCCAGGCCTCCATTGGACGTTTGTTAGACGTCTTAGGACGTCGAATGTCTACTGAGTACCTTTTTCTCTTTTAATTTCAATTTATTTTCCTCTTCCTATACCTGCCATTTCTCAAAATTTATTCTGTATGAAAGATAAAGCAGGCACTCTATACATTTAATTCATCTATGAAGAGTATTCCATTGGAAAAGCCTCACTAAGATTCACTGAGTGCTCTGCTTCTTTCGTAAATATCATCTAGTTTTGTTTATTTCACTAGGAGTTACCCTACAAAACGGTTTCCCCATTAAACGGTTTGCGGTCAAAATTAATTTAAAAAAATAATCAACCAACGCGCTGGTAGCAATTTTTCAGTGTATATGTTAATGATCCTTTTTTTTGAAATAATCATTAAAATATAGGTAAACATGAAAGTCACAGTTGAATTGGCTATGATTTTAGGTAAACACAACCTGGTTAAATGTATTTGATTTCCAAATTAGAGCAAATTTCACAAAGGTGAAATGCATCATGCATATGCTTGGTGAAACGCATCATTCAATTGAGTTGAATTTTCAAAAGAAAACTTACGTCATTCTATGAATATGCACTATAAATATTTCTAGTTTGAGAAGAAATGTAAAAGAGTTGATGTTCTTCCTAATACAATTACATCATTATTAAAAATACATCTAAAGCTTACAAAAAAATTGCTCCTAACATTAAAAATCTTCAGCAACAGTTCCCAAACTGAGCAAAATGTATCTCCACCTAACTTGCTGACTGCATAAAGTCATCATTAGATGAAAAATATCTTATTTAACTTAATAAAAGTCGTAAAGACAAACCAGGCTAGTATTTTACAATCAGCTTTTAAAAGGTACAGTTTATTTTTAGAGCTTCTTCTGCCAAGAAAATAAATAAAAGTTCTGTGATTTTTAATACTAGAGTTCGTTTACAACATCAAAACATTGTTAATTATTTTGTTTGTGATATCACATTTTTATATCTTTGAGATAATTCTGCTTATTTCATAGATCATTTCATCTTTTAAATTCATCATTCACATCTATCTATCTATCTATCTATCTATCTATCTATCTATCTATATATATATATATATATATATATATATATATATATATATATATATATATATATATATATATATATATATATATATATATATATATATATATATATATATATATATATATATATATATATATATATAAATATATATATATATATATATATATATATATAAAAATATATATATATATATATATATATATATATATATATATATATATATATATATATATATATATATATATATATATTGACCTAAAAAACAAACATTTTTGATATATAGCTTATATATATATATAAATATATATATATATATATATATATATATATATATATATATATATATATATATATATATATATATATATATATATATATATATATGTATATATATATATATGTATATATATATATATATATATATATATATATATATATATATACAATATATATATATATATATATATATATATATATATATATATATATATATATATATATATATATATATATATATATATATATGTATATATATACAATATATATGTATATATATATATAATATATATATATATATATATATATATATATATATATATATATATATATATATATATATATATATATATATATATATATATATATATATATACAATATATATATATATATATACAATATATATATATACAATATATATATATATATATATATATATTTACATTCTGTTTCCTCAAATTATCAAATTTACAACTAGCAGAATTTTAAATCAATATTAACTCAGTTTTCAGGCAGTTTGTGACTAAGTCATTAACATGGGGTTAAAAATCTTCCATATTTTTTTTTTTGGGTAAAGGAAAAAAAAAAAGTTTAAAAATGAAAAAAGTTTTATGGTGTTTTCATTTAATTCCATAAAAATAAGCGTTTGTTTTGACCAGGACTGTGGAGTCGGAACCGCGGAGTTGCAACATTTTTATTCGCGAATTTGTATAGCAACTCCGACTCCAATAGTAAAACTTTTAAGTACTGCACGTGCATGTACAAAATATTCAATAAAACTTATATTCATACTCAACCTCAAAGAACTTTTCATAAGTTTGGCAAAGTTAAATTTTCTAACTTATTGCGTAGTATTTTTTAAAGAGTTCAAAGAATTTTTTAAAATATTTGCTTTGGAGTCAGAGTCGAAGTTGGATTCGGAGTCGTACTCTAAAAATGTCCACGATTTAAGACGGAGTGGGTACTTTATTTTTACGACTCCAAACCCCCTGGTTTTGACTCTACTTTAAATATCAAGTGATACAAACTGTATTTTTTCAAATTGTTATAAATATTTATTAATATTACAATAATAAAAATAGATATCAATGTATAATTATTTTTCAAGAGTTTCTAATGTAATCATGTCATTAAAAAAAAAAAACCCAAATAAAACTTATAAAATTAAAAACTCAATATCTCAAAATCTTTTTTTATTCAAAAATAAAAAAATCCATAGATATTTTTGCTGTTTGAACCTCAGTACATTTTTTTCTTATATTTATAAAATAAACTGCAAACATAAAACTGGAGTTTTCTTGATTTCATCGAAATATAACTATTTTTATTTTTAGATGGTAAAAGAAATAAAAAAAAAAAATAAAAATATTTTTCAGTTACATAAAAAACGTTGTTTAATAATTTATATAGAAAATTTATATTTTTGATAGAAAAAATGTAAATTGTACAATCAATAAAAAATAAAAAAATAAATTAGTATAATGGCAATATGTCTACATGCAACTAGAGACATATTTTTGGCGCCCTGGGGCCTTAATTATTTAAGCACCCTCTTTTACAAATAATTGAACACTTTGATATTGTGATTATTAAAAAAACAATAAGATTTTCAATACAAACATATATATTAAATTAAACTCACTTAACATTAAAAAAATATATAAAATTCTCTACATAAATTATGTTTTGCAAACGTATTTATAATGTCATTAAAGTGCATATCTATGGTAAGCGCAGATTCAATAGATAGAATTGCTAACCTATTAAAACATTCACACCAGCCATTCACACCAGTCATTCACCAGTCATTCACACCAGTCATTCACAACCTCAAATAAGACTTGAACCTCTGTAATCTTAAAAATGTTCTCTCGGCTGAACAACTGAACGTTGGGCAGCATAGATATATCCTTTAATGCTATATCTACTTATAGTCGATATAGCATTAAAGATAGTTATATAGTTCTTGTTGTTTATCAGTTCTGATCATTTTACAAATATCTATTATAGTTTTGGGTCTTATGTTTTCAGTTAAATTCATTAAATAACTTATGATTTGTGTACACTCGTTAGCAAATGTCGAACGATTTTTTTTTTCATATATTTTGAAGTGTTTCTGCTTTTTTGTAAACTTCTGATAAAATTTTATTATTTGAAACAAAAAGTTAAATTTTTTATTAGCTTCATGATAGCACAATTTTGTTCTTTCTAGTTTAGAACGTAGTTTATCAATAATAGCATAATATGTATTAATCCTATAAGATTCTTGAATTTCAAAATTTATTTCTTCTTCTCTTTTTTTTATCTACATTTAATTTTCTTGTTCTTTTGCATATTTTTTATATGTTTTGTGTCCCGATATATTAATTACTCTCTGTCTCTCTCTCACTCTCTCTCTCTCTCTGTCTCTCTTTCACTCTCTCTCTGTCTCTCTCTCTCTCTCTCTCTCTCTCTCTCTCTCTCTCTCTCTCTCTCTCTTCATAGATATTAAATATACTACTCAGATCTAATACATATCGAATTAACGATTTGTATAAACTTACAACTGACTTACAATTAACGATTTGTATAAACTTACAACTGACTTACAATTAACGATTTGTATAAACTTACAACTGACTTACAATTAACGATTTGTATAAACTTACAACTGACTTACAATTAACGATTTGTATAAACTTACAACTGACTTACAATTAACGATTTGTATAAACTTACAACTGACTTACAATTAACGATTTGTATAAACTTACAACTGACTTACAATTAACGATTTGTATAAACTTACAACTGACTTACAATTAACGATTTGTATAAACTTACAACTGACTTACAATTAACGATTTGTATAAACTTACAACTGACTTACAATTAACGATTTGTATAAACTTACAACTGACTTACAATTAACGATTTGTATAAACTTACAACTGACTTACAATTAACGATTTGTATAAACTTACAACTGACTTACAATTAACGATTTGTATAAACTTACAACTGACTTACAATTAACGATTTGTATAAACTTACAACTGACTTACAACTAACGATTTGTATAAACTTACAACTGTTTTTAAATCAATCTTAACTGACAGCAATTAATTACTATTTTTGTTGAATCTTTCTGGTATATCATCTCTTAGTGTGGCCATTATGTTTCACGATAGTCCTCTAGCTTCTGATCTTGCGATTAACTTTTGTGATTTATCATTTTGATAAAAGACTGCATTAATTGTTTCGCAACCACGGCTATTGTTATATCGAATCCATGCAATTCTAAAACTAAAAATGTAGCATCTGCTAATTCTTCAGATTTATGCCCAGAGTTGGGTAAATACACTAAAATATCTATACCATTCTTTTGCCATTCTTTTGAACATACCGAAAAATGAACACAGTTGATCTACACGGCTAATATCATAAATTGAATCAATACTGATGGAAAAATATTTAGCTTTCTTCATTTCTTTTACCATTTGTTGTGTAAAATTATCTGCCATTATATCTATGAACTGCTCATATATATTAAAAGATAGGTTCGATCCTATAAAAAAGATTGGATTCTCTAAAAAAGGATCAAACTGAGCAACGTGACTTTTTTTTACCAAATGGCATTTTACTTATTTTATCTCTAAAGCCAGAAATCTCAAACAAATTTTTATTTAAAAAAAAAAAATGGTTTTCTCCTGGCTTTTCTTCAAAGAAATATAATATAGATTGAGAAAGACGAAGTAAAAATACGTCAATTTTTGAAGAGCAGTTTTAGCAGTAACATAGTTTTCAAAAAATATCGCGTATTTTTCATAATTTAAAGTTTACTAATCACATTCAACTTTCAAAAAATATTATTCAATGATATTGTTTTATAAGCAATCAAAGCATTTAAATTTTTAAAATGTAAAGCACGTAAAAGATAAAAATTTAGAAAAATTAACAATTTTTACTTATTAAGAGTTAGTTTACATTTGTTTTTTTTATGTTGTGTTTTTTAAAAGGGCTATTAATAAATTTTTAAATTAAAAATGAATTAATAGATAAAAAATATTTTTTGCGAGGTTTACATAAAGATATTTTATATTTGCGGGGTTTACATAAAGGTATTTTTTTAAAAATAGCAGATCATATTTGAATCCGGGTCAAAATACTCACAAAATAAAATCCTGGAGAGATATAATAAGTTATTTGTCAAGATAAGCTCAAGATTTTCCTTTTTCAAAGTAAAGACGCCATTTTGACTTGCCGCTGGATTATTACTATTAAAATTTTTTTTATTATTATTAAAACGATCTTAAACGGTTTTCGGCTTTGTTCTCCCTCTGGCTAGTCTATTATAGCTTCTTAATTTTTCTGTGTTGATATTTTGTTAGCACAAAAAATAGGAGAGGAGCGAATCGGGAGGAAATAAAAATTCGAAATAGATTTTTAATCTCCATTTGTTTGCGTCCTGTATTAAATGAAAGTAAATTTAAACTATTAATTGGTTATTTCTTAAATCAAAATAGTTTTGTAAAATAAAAACCTTTAAAATGGTCGAGTACAAACTCGACCATCTCGTATTCATTGGCTTTGTTTTGAATATCTTCACGCACGATACTAAAAGCATCATTTAGGATTGAGACAAAAATATTCATAACAATCCAAAGAACAATGAAGTTGAATCCAAAAAAAAAGATTGGTCCAAGAACAGAATTCGCTTTTTCAAACTGATAATAACTAAACTTCCCCAATAATAACGAAACAATGGAGCCGATTGCTTTAAAGTAGTTTTGATATCCTTCTAACAATGGACCTAAAAAAAGCAACATAAAACTCAATTTTTTTTCTAAAAAGAAAAATTTTGATTTTTATAAATAAACACCACATGCATAAAACCTACAATATCAAATTTATAAACTTTTTATTAAAGAACTTTAAATAAATACTTAATATAAAAACACTTTAAAAAGCAGTTCATTTCATTTCTTTATATTTTGGAATAAAAATAAGTGTAATAGCAAATTTTATGAAAGCTTACTTTTCCTGAAGAGCATAAACTATTAATCCATAAAACTCAATAAAAAACATGCAGCTTTAAACAAAGAACAGCTAAAAACTTAATTTGAAAATGATAAACGCAAGCTTAAGAAAATTTCGCCTTGTAACATATTTAGAATCATAAGGTAATAAATTTGCATGATGACCGTGGGAATAAAAAAAGTTTTATAAAATGTGTAATGACGTTTCAATTAAAATGAGAATAATGAACAGCGGTTTGCTTCTCTGTGATGTTTTGCGGAAACAATGATGCGTTAGGAAAAAAACTGGAGAAAAAGTAATAATAGGTGACAATCCCTGCTCATATTTCACAAAACAACTCATGCTTGTGAAAATTATAACATTGAATTTATATTCCCAAACTAACACAATTGTTAAGACCTCTCGCTGGATTCTTTGCACCGTTAAAAAAAGGACGGAGTACCTGTAATTTTATTTCTTGTATATATTTGAATAAATATCGTAATGAAGAACAAAAAAAAGAAAAAAAAAAAAAAAAAAAGAAACTAAGAAACTATTTTTTTTTCATAAGAAGTCATTCGGAAATGGTCTTTCAAAAATGGTAGCTCTGGATGGATTTAGTTTTAAAGGATTAACAAAAAATGATTTTTCAAAAAACCATAACCAATTCAATTGGTAAAAAACAATTTCTTAAGTGTCAAAAACGAGTTAAAAAATTAACTAAGTTGATTGCTGTTGAATGGGAAACATTTTTCCATTACACTATAAGTAGTACACTTTCTTGAGAAAATAGGATTTCTAAATATTAACATTTCTCAGAAAAAAATACTAAAATCTTGGACTTGTACGTATTTTCGAGTCATTTTTGCAAATTTTTTTCAGGAATTGGTTTCAGGAAGTGATTTTTGACTGATTGTTTTAGTTATTCCGTCACTGATGGAGCTTCAGTGATAATAGTTTTGAAAAAAATTGTTTCTTACCGAACATCAAATTTTTTTTAGTTATTAGAGTGCTCCAAGAAAACTTAATGATCACATAGCAACGTGAAAAAGAAAGCACCGTGACACACATAGCAACGTGAAAAAGAAAGCACCGTGACACACATAGCAACGTGAAAAAGAAAGCTTCGTGACACACATAGCACCGTGAATAGGCATTTAATGAGATAGTTCACGCATCCTAAATTTACAATGTCGTTTAATTGGCTAAAGCCAGCATCAAAGCTCAAATCTATTGGTTCTGATGCTTATAATGGAGTTCGTCTAACTGTTCTGTATATTTTTTATTGAGATACCATTGTTTTTTTAATAGCAACTCATAAAAAAAAAATTAAAAAAAAAAAAAAAAGAGACAAATTAATTATAAAACTAAAAATCATGCACACTACTCAGATGCATACCACCAGCACCAGATACTCAGATGCATACCACCAGCACCAGATACTCAGATGCATACCACCAGCACCAGATACTCAGATGCATACCACCAGCACCAGATACTCAGATGCATACCACCAGCACAATAATCTTTTGCAAGCACAATAATCTTTTGCGGTTTCTTTATCTAGTTTTTGTCCAAATAGTATTTTCTAACAGATCTTCAGTTTTTTTTTTTTTTTTTTTGATTTATCTGAAAATTTTTTGTTCATATTTTCTAACCGTACGGAGAACTAGTAAAAGTAACTACCAGATTTAATACAAAGAACATCAAATACTTAAGAACACTTAGCAAAACCATTATTATAAGTATAAGTTGCAGAGTAAAAAGCCATTTCAACAACAGCTTTAGATGTGAATATAGTTTTAGGGGAACGGTTCCAAATTAATTGATTAAACGCTTCATTTCCATTTTGAGTCATGTTGTGCAAACATTTTTAAAGCATATCAGTATTTGGTAGATCCTAAAATACTGGCTTGATCTTTTCTATAAGACAACTAGAAAATTAACCTTTTTCTTGTATGTAACTGGACGAGCTGCTCTATCAGACTGCCATTTACATCAGCTTTTTTTACCTTTAGTGCAAAATATATGACAATATTCCTAAGAAGTAAAATTAGTGCAATGATGAAGTGAAGCTATTACGGATTTCTTCATTTCCAAAAGACTATTATAACTTTGTCAAATAGCCATTCAAACATAAATTTGCAAGAAGCTGATTACTTAATCAGTAAGACGAATTTTACCAGATAAACCTTTTCCGTCAGTTTTACCTGTCATAACTATTTTCTTTTTAGACGTAGTCAATTCTAGTTTTATTGGAATAATGTTATCACCATAAGATTTGTGTACAATAATTGTGCTAAATGAGGTAGTGTCTCCATCACCAATATATTTTGAATAGCGAATGTTACATTTATTTACTAAAGAGCAAAAAAGTTGCACTAGCTGATTTAGTGTGATTTTCTTAGCAGGAATGATTAACTTCCAACTAATCATACTTAAGTGTCTCTTTTTTCTTTGTCAAATTCAACAACTTTTACAAAACTTAGATAATATAACAGTATCCAACACATTATTTTACACAGTATTTGCCACCACTACACCACGCAAAGAAGAAACTCCTATCCGCTGCCAGGAACCATTAATGGAAACACCAAAAATAGTAACATCATTCATATTAGAGTCAGGCTTCAGTATTCTTCAAACTTCTATAGAATCATTTTTCATACAGTAGCTCAGCAACAGATTTATAATTATCGAAAACTTTGCTATTATTATAGTATTAAACTAGATTTTCATAAAGGTGGTCGAATATTCATTATGGAGGTAAAGGTTAACATCTCTCTCTCTCTACCAATCTCCTTAAACGCCATAACAATGCGCACATTAATATCACTAGTATATACCAGGTTTGTTGTTTTTGATAACAGGAGAAAACAAACACTTATCTTTGACAGCACAACCACTGCAAGAAATTTGAAAAAACAAAGAAAACTCCAAACGTTTAAAATGGTCATGATACATGAAAAGCTGAGTACCACATATATTGCAGGTAGAATATTTTTTAAAACATATTTTCATTTGTTTAAAATGCATTAAAAATAAGAGTTCATCATTATCAAATGATGCTTTTTCAAGATCATTTCTTAGCTTTTTCCTTCCTGTAGAACACGCTCCTGTGTTTGTATCAAATTGCTTATTGGTGGTATTGAAATTGTCATGCTGATTGCAATTAAAAATTTTTTCCTTGGTCTTTTTTTTTTGTTTGTTTGCGATGACTTACTTTTCACCCAGTAGCAGTAATATATACAAAAATAAAAAGTGTAAAGCACTATTTCATCTTAATTCAAAAAGACAACAACACAATGTTTAACCGTTAAAAATAGTAATGTGACTTAGATTTATTACATTTAGGATAATGTAAACTTGAAACATTAAAAAAAGAATGGTTTTAGACTTTGCATGCTTAGTATTTAGAACTAACTGAAGGAATAAAACAGTTGCTATGGTGTTATGGTTTTATGTGATTAAAAAAGGTTTTTGAGAAAAATATTTTTGATATTATAATATTATTTTTGAATTTTTTTTTTTCTTCTAAATAACATTTTTTTAAGTTTTTCATCTTTTTTCTCCATTTTTCATCGAAATAATGCCAGATTTTAGGAAAGAATTTACATTTTTTTAATTTCTCTTTTTTTTATTATTATTATTTACTGGTAAATTTTTAACAATTTACTGATAAATTTAAAAACCAGTAAAAGCTCTACCTTATTTCAAACTAATAGAGGTAATAAAAGAATGCAAAAAATTTATGAAATCTATTGCTGATGCTCTGGATAAACTTCAAGAAGAACTTTTTATGATTAGCACAAGGAATCCTGAAAACAATTAAGTTTCCCTTAATGTTCAACAAAGAGAATTTATAAGAACGACCCAATCTGCCTAACACATAGTCACTAAGTCTATAAAAGACATAGGTAGCAACATATGTATATATATATATATATATATATATATATATATATATATATATATATATATATATATATATTATATATATATATATATATATATATACACATACATACATACACACAGTGCAGGATCAAGGGGGCTAGGGGGGGCTATAGCCCCGGGCCCCGCAAATTTAGAGGCCCCAAAAAATTTTAGAGGACCTTTTTTTTTTTTAAAGTCATTTTTAGGCTTTGGCCCATAAAAAGGTCTCCAAAAACAAAAATAACCCCTGGCCCCAAGAAGTCTTATTCCGCCACTGTATATATATATATATATATATATATATATATATATATATATATATATATATATATATATATATATATATATATATATATATTGTTGTTGTATGATTTAGTATTAAAAATACTAAACTCTTGATCGTTGTAGAGTGCTCAATATTTAAGAAATATTTAGTTTTTCAAAAACAGAGCGTTTTATACTTAAATATAGAAAAAACAACTTTTAATGGAACTTAAAGTTTCAGCCATGAAGGTACTTCATGGCTGATGATTGCCGATAGGCATGAAACTTTAAGTTCCATTAAAAGTTGTTTTTTCTATATTTAAGTATATATATATATATATATATATATTATATATATATATATATATATATATATATATATATATATATATATATATACATATATATATATATATATATATATATATATATATATATATATATATATGTATATATATATATATATGTGTATATATTCATTATTATATGTATAACTAAGATAAAAAAATAAATAATAAAAAGATAAAAATTTTTAGAAAAGTTTTGTAAAAAATTTTTACCTCAGTAAAATTTTTTTCTTTGTTTATGTACAAAAAACCTTTTAAAGTATGTATTTATTCGTCAAGCATTTTATCTTACTCGTAAAATTTTTATTTGATTTTTATTTAGACCTAATAAAGATTCAGATAAAAAATAATACTTTACCAAACACAATGCTGGCTGTAGTAATAACAGAACACAAAATAATGAAAAAGATTATCCCAAACATACTAAAGGGATACCATGCAACATTTAAAGTTGAAGATAACATTGAAACACGTTGATTGAACCGCAAGAGTTTAATAAACTTTAAAGTCACAAAAAAAACAATAAGCGCTACAACATAAACATATGCCAGATTCCAGTACGAAGCAAATTGAAAATTGATAAAGGTCTGCGGTTTCTTATCTGTTATTCGTTCTAACAAAACTTTGGCCAAATGATCTTGGAAAATAAGTTTTAAAGTTTAATAATGATAAAAAAAATAAAAAATAATTAAATGAAAAAACAAACAAACTAAAGTTTCACAAAATAACAACAACAAAAAAATGTGCATAAAATACTTTTAAAAAAAAAAAATCCAACTGCAATAACCGAAAGTATAACTAATACAGCCTCCACTAAGTTCCAAAACTCTACAAAATATTTAATGCCAGTTCTCAATAACAAGCGACATTCTCGGACAGCAAACAGTATGGTCATTAAAACAAATATAATATGAGAACCTAAAACAGCTTTTGACCCTGTTAATGATATATATAACTTAAATGTAAGCACAGTAAAACGAGGAACAACTCCGCCAGAAGCAGGGAATTCTAAAAATATTGTAGCCATGGTGAAATAATTAGTAGCAGCGTTAAACAAAGCATATTCAATTATTACTGCTCGCGTTCGCCTATCAATCCATCTGAGCTCTTTTAAACGATCCAGTATAGCCTTGTTATTCCATTTAGGGAAGATTTCTACAGCATAACCACCACCGTAGTAAGTATCTAAGTCAGTTCTATATGGATAGCCATCAAGTTCTTTCCAAGTTTGATACCTCCAAGGCATTGTAAATGGGTTAATGGCAGATTTATATTTGATTGGCCGTGTCCAATTAAAATCAAAATCTTGAGTTTCTTCAACTGCAGAATTGTATGAAGACAGACAGTCTATTTTAAAAAATTCAGCAACTAAGTTAGCTTTGATGCAAGAATCTAAAAGCAAAAAAAAAATTATTTTATTTTCTTAGTTTTTGTTATTTTAGTTACTTTATTGGCTAAATTTATGATGATGAGTATTTGTCTCCCTCAGGCCTGTAAAAAAAATAATTTATTGAATGAGGAACAGATATATCTGAAGACATGACCCTATAAGGTCATGTTATCCCCTACAGTAAGAACAGTGAATTTTGCAAAAATAAGTAAATTTTTATTGTTATTATTTAAAAAACATATTTTTTGTTTTGTTATATACAAAACTAATTTATTTCAGTAATAATTGATAAAGTTAAATTTTAAATTTTAAAATATTTTCTACCTATGATTTTTCTTACTAATGATTTTTCTTTAACTTTATTAAGAAACTTGTATACAGTCAAAAAAATAGACTAAATTTTTTTTGTTGTTGATAAAAGTGTATAGGGTTAAGGTTACAATAGTTAGGTTTAAAATAATTGTAAAAAAATTAGAGTTTTAAATTTTTATCAGAAAATAGTTAATTTTTTTAAAAATTGTGTAACTAACATTGTCCTTGACAATGTTAGTTGACACTTATCGTTTATGGATACATTTTTCGGATGTGTTTAATTTTTAAAAAAAAAACAACCTTCAAAATCAAAAAATCAAGTTAACTTAAAACAACAATTAAAGGAAAATTAGCCCTAGAGAGTAATTAAAGACCTAACATTAAATTAAAACCTTTTTTTCATTATTTTCGTATTAATAAATCAAGTACTATTGTTGGTTGAATTTATAGACACATTTGCATGGATATGAATTTTTTTCAACAATACCACGTCTTTCTTAGTTTATAAAATATATGCTGAAAGTTTTTTTGTTTTTTTACTTTACCAACGAGAATTACCCAGTGGACACGGACGTAAAAAAGACGTCTTTTAAACGTATATACACGTTTTGTACGTCTTTTGTACGTCTTTTGAACAATTTGGACGTCTTTTGAACGTTCAAAAGACGTCTTTTTTTAATCCGGTGCCCACTCGGTACTCACTTAACTACAACCATTACTTTCTAATTTTAACTACTAATTAAACTACTTAAGGAAATTCAACATCTATTTCTGATTATTTACCTTCTTTTTGCATATGTCCTAATTGTAATAAATTATTTAAGCTGCACAGTCATAAATTATATCGCAGGAATTTGAAAAGTTGAATAAAGAAATTTTTAAATGTGACATTAAAAATTGACTGGGATAATGTTTATAATGTTTTATTTTAAAATACATTTATAATCTAATAACTTTTAAAACTTTTTATAGCTTATTTTAAAATAGTTTACAAGTTATCGATTGCAAAGCTTTTTCTTTTGTTGAAAAATATTGATATAACGAGTTCTGTTTATAAGTTTTTTTAACTATTTTTTTAACTAGGTTTTTGTGAAAATTAACTTATGTATCGGTTTACTGGATAACTTTAAATTTTACAATTATATAAAAATATTTTTTCAGAAAATTTTCCAATATTTAGACGCCCACGCTTTTTAAAAAAAATTCTTACTTGGCTGCACACGAAGTTGTCGAATTCTTATTCCATTTACAATCTTTGAGTTGAGATCATTTAAAAAAAGTTTACCAGGAAAATCTTTTTTATCTGAATTTGCATAGAACTCACTCAAGTTAAACCAAGGTTCAGGAAAAACTTGTTGTATAAAATATTCCTCCATCCACGGCCAGAAATCCTGTGTTGATTGAATCTAAAAATATAATAAATAGTCAAATGGTTAATACTAAAAAGACATATATTAAAAAAGACAAAACAAATACGAAAAAAATTACGGCTATCGAACACTAAATTTTCTGACTTTTTACAGCCTTTTTGATTTTTTTATGTAAAATTGTTATATGTACTTAAAAAGTTAAATGAAACTTTATTTTGTTAAGCTGTTGAAATTTGTAGATTAAAATGCATAAAATTCTGTAAGTAGTTTGCGCCAAATTCGTTTAAAGTGACAATACACCTATAGACGAGTTGCAAATGTTTACAATTTAAGCGCATGCGCGGTAGTTGTTAGGCAAAAGTATAAAATAAACAAGAACTCTATTTTAGACTACTTACCAAAAGTTCACCTAAACCATGTCTTCTGACTTCAATTCTCTTGCTAATCATGTCGAAAAATTTTATTTTAGATGTTGATATTAGAAAATAAGGTTTTGTTTCCCGATCTTTATGGTATCGAGGAGAAATTTTGAAAAAATAACGCTAGTTTGTTTTCTGAAATCAGTTATGGTGATATATATATATATATATATATATATATATACATATATATATATATATATATATATATATATATATATATATATATATATATATATATATATATATATATATATATATATATATATATATATATATATATATATATATATATATATATATGCATATATATATATATTTAGTAAAATCACAAAGTTCATACAAAGTATAGAAGCGTTAAAACCTTTGAGGGTTTTAACTATTTTGTCTGTGGAAATGTGCAAGATTTTTATTATGGTGATCTAATTGAAGAGTCTGAGTTTTGTGCATTAAAAGCAAAGGTAAAAAAACAATTTTAGTGAAATCTAAAATATAACTAAGATATACAACTACAATAAATTTTTTAACCAAACTATTGTTGTTATTTTAGGTCTTATCAAGTCAAAGACAAAGGAAAAAAATATCAATGTATGAAGTTTGTATATATGTTCATAAATCCAAAGGATATATTTTAAATGGAAACTGCAGTTGTGTTAATGGGTATGTTTACTTGAGCAATTAAGCTTGGTTTTTATAATGACATAAAATTTTATTATGATTATTTAGGATTATATTATAGTGTAATACCGTTTGTATTACCCCTGTAATGTATTATCCCTGTTAATGTGTTACCCCTGGTAATACCGCTTTCAACTTGAATGTCTGCGCAGCAGCCTTGCTCGTCAAGGTTCGTGTTTTAGAGTTATAGAATTAAGAGAAGGTTGTAACCATAAATAAAAGTAGCCTCCTCGACTGTAGTGGCCTTCATGGCCTTAAGGAGGGAAATTGAAATAAAAATAAAAAAAAAGAATAATAATATATGTTTAATAATGGAACATAAATAACAAAATTTATAATTATAAAGAACAACAGCATTAAAACATTGTAATAATTAATTATCAAAAGTTCTTACTCTATAAAAAAGGCCTATAAACTTTTGATATAGGCCTATTACAATATAAAAAAGGCCTATATCAAAAGTTCTTACAATATAAAAAAAAACTTTATAATTCTTATGTGATAAGATGTATAAAGATTTGTATAAGAATATAACAATGTACTAGTGTATGGAATAATATTACAACTTTATACAAGCAAATCCTAAATTCTATCAAAATATGGCTACTAAAAACTTTCAAAAAATATTTTTAACTTTTTTTTTAAATATTTACACAAGGTCATTTTTATTTAAAAATATTTCTGTAAACTGTAAATAATTGTAATGGCTTTAAATTTTAATGATGGTAAAGTCATTAAACTTGAAACATTAAAATTCATAAAACTTTTAACTTTGAACAAGTTAAAGTAATGAGATTTTAATGGATTAGTTATAGCAGACGGTTAAGATTGCATATTAATCATATAACAAAATAAAAATAATAAAACAAAATACTAACCCTATCATAAACTTTAAAATTATCTATTTCCATTGGAACCCCTCTAAGTTTCAGATTAAAAAGTTCTTCTATGTTGCGATTTTGATAACAGGCAACATTTTCATTTGTTGAGTAACTAATAAAAAATACTAAAGCTGCATAAAATGCATATATAAACATTTCTTGTATTAGAGCCGTCATCTTAAGTTTTTTAATTTTTAACTCTTTCATCTTTTTTAATGTTAAAGAATCAAGTGGCTGCAATTTGATGCTTTCCATATCATAAATAGTTGGTTCGTTTTTTAATTTGTAAAGCCAATGTTCATCATGAGCTAACTTCTTACCTTTTTTTTTGAAACAAAATTTTTTATTACAACTACAAATGCTGTCATCAACAAATTGAATAATGGATCATAATATTTCTTTCACTAAAAAAGTAAAATATTGACCAAAAAAAAAAACAAAAAAAAAGCAACCTCTATTTTCAAATTCAGTTTCCTCTTCGTTAACTTCTTTAACGACAACAGCAACAAATATTGCCAGAATAAATATTTTAATCGGTTCAATTAACAGAATTTCTTTAGTCTAAACAGAAACATTGATCATTATACAAGGCCAACAACACCCGAGCCAAGACGCACTGGCCCCCCAATTTTTTTTTCCAGAAATTTCTAGATATAAAGGACTTTTTTAGAAAATGAAGATTGTGCCCCTCCACCTTAACGCTAACGCTTTTTAACGCTATAATCATAATATTTTATATTTATTATAAATGCAGCATTAAAAACTAGTTTGGTGTTAAACATGAAGCATATTCCATGTTGTTATTATGGTAAATATAAATCATATTCTTTAATGATAAACTGTTAAAGAAAATTTATCCTTAAAAATCGATAATTTAAATCAAAATTATGTAAATAAATTTAAATAAAAAATAATATACAAAATCAATAGTTATGCTGGCCAGCCAATTTAATGATGTTGCATTTCCAAATTTCATTCCATACAACACAATTATAACAACGCAAACAAATATATTACCGACACAAAGAAACCATGCTACATACAAACACCAATGTGGTAAAAGAAACTTTTTTTTCTTTAATGGTTTGTCTTCAGTAATGATAATAGTTAATGTAGTCTTGCTTAAGTGAATACCTGAAAAAGGATTTAATTTATTTTAGAAATTAAACAATATTAATCAGTATTAACATGAATATTTAACTTTAAATAAAATATAAACATTATATAAAAAGTATAATTAGAAAATAAAAAAGCAAACTAAAATGTAAAAAATTACTTTTGCGTTTAGATAAGGGAATAAACTCTGAGCTAAGCTGTTCGGAGCTGCTTTCATTAACAGATGAGTCATCAATAAAACTATTGGAAGTAATTTCTAATGGTCTTATTGAACGAAAAAACTTCAAAAACAACAAGTGTACAGGAAACTTAATGACAGTAGAAATCAACACCACAAATATCTATAAGAATAATATTAGAAATAAATATAACATGATAATATTTAATGGAGTAATATAAGTAGATGAATAACCATTTATTAAATTAATATAAATATATTAATATTTATATTAATTTAATTTATACACAATTCTAAATTCTATTAGTTATTTATACACAATTCTAAAACTATAACCAACAGTTTACACAATTATAAAACTAAAACCAACAGTTTACACAATTCTAAAACTTACCAACAGTTTACACAATTCTAAAACTTACCAACAGTTTACACAATTCTAAAACTATAACCAACAGTTTACACATATCTAAAACTATAACCAACAGTTTACACAATTCTAAAACTTACCAACAGTTTACACAATTCTAAAACTTACCAACAGTTTACACACATAATTAGCTTCTTTTTTCGTACTAACAATTTTTTATTGTTAAATGAATAGTTAAACAAAATATGTGATTTTGAAAGAAACATTTTTTAAATGTGCTTTTGTGTGCAGACTACAATAATGTTGAACAAGTACTATGATGTAAATTTATTACCATGTAAAATGTGAAGTTGGAACTTGATTTAACATCATGCCTAGTTTAGTTTTTAAATTCATTCACTCATATTAAGCAAAAAAAAAAAAAAAAAAAGAAAATAAAAAATGGGGTAAATTAGGTACTTAGATAAAAGAATGTGGGGTAAAATGAATATATACCTTAAAATTCTAATAAAATCATAAACTTTTAAATCATCTAAGTCACAAGAGAGATATTTATGTACTCATTATACACTCATATTTATTTCATTTTTCCCTTTAATATTGTATTATATAAACAACAGGTAAATAGTTATATATGCTACTGAGCTATTTATAGTTAAGATCATAGTCCAAATCTATTTTACCAGAATGGCTATTTTACCTGAGTAAAAAAAAAAGACGAGAATTATCTTTAGTAAAATTTTTTACTTTTTAACAGGGAGCAATTATTTCAACCATATTGGCCAAATTTCAAAGAAAGTTTATTTGTTGTTATTCAACATAAAAAACAAATGATTTTTATTTCTTTTACTATATTTAACTAAAATACTTTGATAATAATTAAAAAAAAAAAAAAGTTAGAAAAACCGTCATCATCCAAAATGTTAAATGAATGGATGAGCTTTTTTTTTGCAGCTGCAATCTTGGAACAACATACTCATAAAAACCTGATACATTTGACATTCAAATGGTATAGGAAAAATTGCAGTCTCATCAAATTGAGACAATTTTACAACAGCATTTTTTTTAAATTGAAAGTTTTTTAAGAGCTAACCATTTTAGAGTTATTGGGATACCTTCTTAAGTAACACATAATTCCTGGTATTTTTCGGTGAGCCAATTATTGAAAGAAGATTTTATTACATAAACAAAATTATATAGGAGATATAGCAAAATATAGAGGAGTAAAATGTTTTAATTTGTAAACCAAGTAATGCGGTAGTGGTGTAGTGGTAAAACACTCGCTTCATAAGCAAGAGATTTCGAGTTCGATCCCCACCACGCCCCTGGTAGTACCGCGCTCAATTTGTTTCTCCGCGCAGCGGCCTTGTTTATCCAGGATCGTGTTTCGGAGTTATAGAGTTGAGAGAGGGTTATAACCACTATTAAGTAGCCTCCTGGTCTGTAGTGGCCTTCTCGACCTTGAGGAGGTGAATAACAAAAAAAAAAAAAAAAAAAAAAAAAATATAAAAATTGAAAATTCAGAAAACATTCCTTTTTTCGAATGTACCATTTTACAAATCAATAAAAAAAACTCTCCTGCAATTTTTTTAAACCCAATTTGGGCTTGGTTAAAATATTCTTAGAATTAATGAATGTTTTTTATGCAAAGTTTTTTATTTGATTTTAAATATAAAGATATTTTTAAATTGTAATATTACTAAACTGAAGTTTTAGATAAAAAATAAAAGGATAGAGCCGAGAAAAAGGCATATATGCAGTCTGAAAATGATATTATAATACAAAATCATGTGATAGTAAAGATGATAAAGATAGTTTAAAGAAGTATATTATCTAATAACCAATAAGCAAAATAGAATAAATCACTTAAAAAGGTTTATTGATTTAATTTTACAGCAAAATTAAGAGAAAAAAAATTTACATCTGGAGGAGAACTTATCAAAACAGAGTTGAATTTTGTTATCCATGTTAACAAAGTTAACTTTGTTGGAAACTGTTTTTGACAACGTAAATTTCAAAACTTTGTGTCTGTTATAAAAGAGTCTCAGTAGAACAATTCATAAATTTCATACCAATGACCTTCGCATGATGGAAACCATAGAACAGCCAAATAATGGTAAATACATTCCAACAAAATGTTGCTCCAACAAAGTTTTATGGTAAAACTAGAAAAGCTGACTAGAAAAGCTGCAGCACAAAACAATTATAATAAATTATAATAAATTAATTATAATAAATTTATTTCTAAATTTGAACTTGTTTTTTTTACATTACTTTAGTTACACTTGAATATTGATCAATTAAGTTCTGATGAAAATTTTTGCTGGAAGGAAAGTGGTTAACATAAACCATACAATTCTAGGTTTGTACTTGAAAACAGAACATCTACCTTCATCTTCATTTAAAAAATTTCAAAGCATATTTAGATAGTATGGTTCAACTTGGTTTGAAAAAATTTAAGAACTTTATTGAAGGTTCAAAGCACTTTACATACAACAATAAAATAAAAACTTTACCCAAATTATGCAATAAATGATACTAATGTTTCAAGATACTCTGTCTGTTGCCAGAATACCTGCTTATCTCCCGTTAAATTATTATCTCCTTATCTTATATTCTTACTTCCTTATCTTATTTTTATCTCCCTCTTTGTAAACAAATTAAAAGATATAAAATAGAAGTGAGACTTATGTTAAATAACAAGACAAACCTCTGCCTGTAATATTGCTTGTACCATAGCAATATTGTTTTATTATACCTCCAAAATTAATAAAATCTAAGGTGGCATTAGAGTTAATAAAATCCCAGTAATTGAAAATTTAATAATTGAGTGTTACACATGAAAATAAGCTGGATTCTGAACATAAACTGATTCTTCTGAACATAAACTGATCTATGAGCCACTCACTAACTCAGAACTTATCTTGTCAAAATCTTTGCAATATATAAATACAAAATCAAGTGTGAGCTTAGAGATAAAACTTCTTTAAAATATTTATTACACCATTAGGAAATTTTTGGAACTATTGTTGGATTATAATTGGTAGAGATTTGAGACAGAGTTCTTATTAGGCTATGAGAGCTGTTCACCCTTGGAGTAGAGAAAAATTTGGAAAAAAATACTTTTATTAGTCTAGAGTCATACTTAATTTTAGAACCTATAATAAATGATGTGTGAACCTATAATAAATGGTGTGCGAACATTTAATAAATGATGTGTGCTAAATTTAATTTTATAATACTTAAAAAAATTTGAACTAGAAGAAAAAAAATGATAATTGTTCCAATTTCCTTACAAAATTTATATTTAGCAACAAGTGAAATTTTCAAAAAAAGTCTTATAAATCTTTAATTTAAAATCACCAAAGTTTTTTTTTTTAAAGTAATAAAAAATATTTTACTCAATTTATACATTTTATTTATTAAGTTTTACCTGAGTCTTTGTGAAGGAAAAAACACTTTTATTCTCAGTAGCTGGGTTTGGGTTTTCACCTTCCTTTCCATAAAACATTGTGCTTACCATCATTGAAGTCAGTAGCAAAGAAACTGCAACAGTCAACCTTTGACACCGGGTAAAGTTACTTCTTGGTGGACGAGTAAAAATTGAAAACCACAAATGTTCATCAGTTAAATTGCGTTCTACTTTTGAGGTATAAACAAATGTAAAACTTTTAGATTCTTCAGCAGATGCTACTGGAATAATACAATCTAAAGTACACATTCCTTGATCTACAGCAATCCAACGATGACCAATAAAAAGAAACTGTTTTTCAGTTTGGAGATCAGTGATTACAATGGTGCTACATTTAAATAATATAGAAAGTATAATCATTCATTTTTAGTTTAAAATTTCTCTTTTTAATTTTTAATTTAAAATTTAAAATTTAATTCTTAATTTAAAATTTTTAATAAAAAAATTTTTTTTTTCTATCTTCTAACTTTATTAAACTTTAACTAAATAAAGTAACCTAAAATTTTTAACAAAATTGCCTTGCTGCTTTATAAAACTTTTTTTACAGCCTTGCTGCTTTATAAATCTTTTTTTACAGCCTTGCTGCTTTATAAAACTTTTTTTACAGCCTTGCTGCTTTGTAAAACTTTTTTTAGGCACAGGTTATAAGAAATTAAAGATGTTATACATTTTCAAATTGAATTTGTTGCTCTACAATATTTATTCAATGAGCAGATTTCTTTTGGATTTAAATTACAAGGTAATTTTTAGTCATGCTTTTGAACTTCTTTTTTGTTGTGGTAAACACGACAAAACATAGTTAGATCAAAAGACTGTTAAGTCTTTTGATGCTGCAAATTTTAAAATTAAAAAAAAAAATTTTTGACGCTGCAAATTTTAAAATTAAAAAAAAAAATTTTTAAAGGTTAAGTTTAAGAGAAAGCAGAATCGTCAGTATTTCAATATTAAAAAAGAGTTTTAGCTAATAAAACCCCTTATATTTTTATTTCAATAGCTATTTCAATGGTGATAGAAACCAGTACTCTTTAATGCACAAAGTAACAATTATATATTTAAGTTAAACTATGTAACATTATAAAAAAGATTTATAAAAAAAGGTGAACCTTTGCGTATTTTGCATAAACTTCAAATTAGAACACTTTACGTTGATTTTCAGTCAAATATTTTTATAAGATGTTTGATAAGCATAAAATTCTTTATCTTATTAAACAACTGAAAAAACCCTAACCGTTTAGTTGGAAGCTTAAAGAAATCTAACTAAATCTTAGTTAACTATACCTGCAGATAGAACTTTGTCACATTAGTAGTAACCTTGTTATTATTTGTTATTATTTTTAGTTAATAACCTTGTTATTATTTTTGTTATAAACAAAATCATGTCACTTAAAACCTTGTGAAACCAATGTGACAATATATTGAAAGAAAGTCTTGACTATTAAAAAATCTAGTATTTGTAAATCAACAATTTTTTTTTTTACTTCTTGTTCACTCCCAACAAGGCTGCAATAAGAGATTTGTAGAGATAGAGAATGGAATCAGGAGAGAGAAAATGGAGAGTATGATAAAGAGAAGCAACCTTAGCAGATATTAATTTAGCAAATCAATCAGTTTCTATAAAAGGTCAGTAGTAAATGATAATCCAAGAAGACGTAAAGAAAAGGAATCAGTGAGAGGGTTGCCATTCATTATTATAGGAATACCAACAGTACTGCAATAGCTGTTTGCAATAAATAACTGAGTTTTGTTGGAGTTAAAATTTAAAAGCCACTGTGAGCCCTAATCTGTTATAAAAGTGAAATCAGATTCAACATTGGCTGCCTGTTCATTGCGATCAAAAAAAGAAGACTTTTTGTCAAGATAGTAGAATAAAGTTAAGTCATTAACAAAAAGAGCCACCCTAGATGTAAAGTTGTTGGGAAGATCATTAATGTAGATAAGAAACAAAATAGAACTAAGAATAGAACCTTGAGGTACCCTAGAAATTACTGGAAATAAAGAAGAGCTTTGAGTTAGAAAAAAGCAATTTAATAATCTTAAAAACTTTCCCAGATATAACATATGAAACAAGCTTATGGAGAAGCCCAGCATTGCAAACTTTGTTGAAAGCCTTAGATATGTCAAGAGCAATAGATCTAGCCTCTCCGCCTTTGTCTAATGCACAATAAAACCTTTCAGTCACAGCAGTCAGCAAGTCAGCCGTAGAGCAAGAGCATCAAAATCCGTATATGACAGCAAGTTATTTGACTCAAGATAAGATGTGTGAAATTTGTTGATCAAAAACTCAAAGACCTTGCTAATAGCAGAAAGAAGAATGTTATCTGGACCACGAGCAGTTGATGAGTTTAATCGAGATATGCTTTAGCAACAGAAGTTGGAGTGATTTGAATGTCTAATGTTAACCTGTTTTAATTGGAATGGAAGAAAGAGAGTGGCTATAAGATTTGAGAGTTGAGTTAAAAGAAATATTTTTGGCAAATAGTTCTGCCTTACCCTTGGGAGAAGTAATAAGATCAGTCCCGTAAATGAGAGATGGAATGTTAGACTTAACTTTGTTAACGACGCTGTTGATGGTTTTCGATAAAAGCTTCCATTACTGCCTAAATACAGAAGGTTTCTTAAGAGGCGCATTTTTCAGCTGAAAGGAAAAAAGAAATCAGTCCAAAGACTATCACAAAGAAAATCACAAAAAGATTCAGCTTAGGAGTAGTAGTAAGTAGTGTGATGTTAGGGTGAGTCCAAAAATGAAGTACAAGATGTAAGATTTAAAGATATCATTGCATGGTCAGAACGATCTAAGGGAGAAAAAGAAGTAACTAAACACAAGCTAAGATCAAAGACGAGACATAAATCAAGGAGTGAAGATAAATGATTAGGATTGTCAGGAAAAAGAGTCAAAAAGTTAACTATCTGAGTAAGAAATTGAGAAATGCAGAAGTTAAAGGCTTTAGTGACAGCAGGGTTAGTTACATTAGAGCCTAGCCATTCATTGTGATAAGCATTTAAGTCAACAATAATAACAATATTGGCAGAGGGGTGAAGAGAGAGCATGGTCAATTTGATCAGAAATTATACCTAAAAGAGTGCAGTTTTGGGAAAAAGGTGAACAATAAAGAACAAAGAGAATGATGATAGAGTGAAGAGGTGCTAAGCAGAAGCACATAAACGAATGGTCAAAGGATTCAAACCTGATTTCACGATAAATAGGTGAATTGATGCATATGTATACCCCTAGTCAAGCATGTGACTATTGGAGTCTTTGCAAATCAAAGGTATAGTATCCATCAACACCGAGATTAAAAGAAGGAATAGCAAAATTTAAATTAGTCTCACTAAGAGCAAGCAATTAAAAGCAGGCCTGTCAAACAACAAATTAAAAAAAATTGTCAGAACTGTAACCCTAACAATCAGCAAATTGGTAGAGTTGAATATTTACATAAATTTTCTGAGGTCAGGTTGTGAGTGATTTCTTCACTTTCAGTGATTTAAAAAATCACTGAAAAAAGGACGATTGTTGCTCACTACAATGGTTTATCTTTGTAAATCTATTGAAAAGACTGATTTAAAAAGACTAAAAAATAACTTTAACAAATAACTTCTAAAAAAGAGCAGCATTTAGCAGTGATTAGCCTTGTGAATTAGCTCATGTTATTTAATCTTGCAAAGTTTTTGGTGGCTGTTTTGTTAAGCTAGAATTGATTGTGGCAAAGGTTTTTTAAGATTTTTCTAAACAATGTCAATACTGCCTTAAGAGATGAAACTAGCTCACCGCCACAATAACAACCTCTCTTTCAAAGAACTGGCGAAGATACTAATCCCTATCCCAGTGTGTGTGACCACAAAGAACATACAAATTCTTGTTGCAGTATCAGAAGATTTGCTAGAAACTTCGATGTTGAACTAATCTAGTCACTGAAAATGGAGTTAAACAAATTTTGGCTTGTGATATATAAAAATTGCAAATATAACAAATTTCCAATTTTGCAAATCATCCCACCAATGACATTACATCTCCTCTTAGGTGTTTTCAATCATCTTTACAAGATCCTTAAAACTGCTTGGATAGAAGCTGTTAAGTGGCCAGCTGCCCTCAACATTCACCTAAGCCCTCGAACTAACCCCCATATTAGAAAATGAATGTAGAAAGCTTAGTAAAAATTTGGATGTGCTGCAGTTACTTGCAAACACAAACATGGTTCCCAACATCGTTTACAATTTTCATCATCATCATCATCATCATCATCATCATCATCATCATCATCATCATCATCATCATCATCATCATCATCATCATCATCATCATCATCATCATCATCATCATCATCATCATCATCATCATCATCATTATTATCTTC